TTCTTTTTGTTGCAAATAATACTTTTCATAAATATTGAGGATTGTTGGTGGTGATCAGTTTTATGTCGGTAAGAATTTCCACAAGAACAGATCAAAATAAGAATGAAGCCATAAAACTTGGGACAGTCATTAAATGCTTCCCATTTTAGGTAGAAGCAGAACATTAATATATAACAATTCTTTGGGCTGAAATCAAGTCTCGCATCTTACATTAAGAAGATTAATTAGTTAATGTTTATGAGTTCTGTGCAGATATGCCCTTTTAAAATGCTAAGTATTCTAAAAACCACATTGTAGCATTTTACTAAATGCAGAAGATCTAACTTTCATCATTTCTTTGGTACAGGTTGGCAAAGATTCTTTTGGCAATGATTATATAGAAAACTTAAAACAGAATGATATTTCTACAGGTAAAATTTCATCTTTTTTAAAGTTAGTTTTTTACAACTTTCTTCTGTGATCTGATTACAGGAAAAGTTGAATATAGAGGAGAATTATTAGATCCTCCCCTGGTGGCCAGAGAATTTTTATGCACAGCTTTGTCAAGTTTTGCTTCAGTAACCTGTGGTTAATTCTTTCATGTACGGGGAACAAAAGAAAGGAGGTTACAAACCTTAATCCCCTGGAAATGTTTCTAACAACAAAGGGCAACAGATGCAGTATTCACAGATATTTTAAGAAAAGACATGGAAGACCATAATCGGAAACGATCTTACAAACCATTGAGGTCTGTACTACCATTTCACAAAAGAAGTAATTGGAGCCCAGAGAGGTTCTAAATTTGTTCAAGAACACACAGCTAGTTGGAGCCAGAGCCAGGACTGGAATGCGAGTCTTTGGCTCCAATTCAAGGCACTTTGCTGCTGCCAAAGTCTGTCTGATCAACATTTCCATGTATATGCCAGTGCATAATTCTTGATGAGATGCAAAGCTTAGGAGAAGGAAGAAAATTGAACAAGTTCATTTTATAAGTTTGACCTTTAATCTTGCATTTCAAGCCTGTCATTTCTTTCACTGGAGAAAAGAAATAGGGGGAGGGAGAGGATATAGAAAAATGGGTGTGTATGCGACTACGAATAATTTGGGGAAATAGGAAAGAAGGGTGCTTGGTGGGTTGTTTCTAATTTAGAGAAAGGTGTGGCTAAGTAGAAAGACTGCTGTCTTCCTCATTGTATAGGTGATGGGTATAAATTAATAGTAATTACTTATTTCTTTTTATCACTCCAGATGGTTAAAGGTTAAAAAGTTTTCCCAAGGACTAGTGGTGTATTAAAATTGCTAAAATAGATTATCCATGCCAGGCTGTAAATACATGTTTGCAATTTCTTTTTTCTTTTAGAATTTACATATCAGACTAAAGATGCTGCTACAGGAGCTGCTTCTATAATTGTCAATAATGAAGGTATGTGTTTCGCATATTGTAGTGCCATTTCATATAATAGTTTATTTCCAGAAGTAGATGAGAGGCTTCAATTCTTGCCCTAATCCTATCAGTGTCTTACTACATACACCCTCTACTCAAAGGCCTGAAACATAGTCTTTCTAATCTGTACAGAAATGTTTCCTTTTATTCATACTTCCGGGTCTGATCATTTAAATGTTAAAATTACCCGCTGTCCATTAATAAGTGTGATCGTTGCCACAAAATAACACTTAGATACCAAGTCCCATTACCCTTCCCAGGAGCTCAGAATTGATAGTTGTCTCTTAAGGCAGTTCAGTGTGCATCTGTCAGTCGAGTTAAACTAGGTAAATAAATATAAATAGATAGGTGCGAGAGGAAGTTGATGGATCGTATTTATAGCCTATTTTCTGAGCAAATGGCAGCAACCAATTACTTTAGGCTTATCGTTAGTATTCAATTTTGCTCTTCAAACAGCAATCACATCTCAAAAGTCTACATCTACAGCTGAGTCTTCACAAGGTCTTCGATCACTGAAACTTCTTTAAAAGCAGTAACCGCCCTTCACTCTCAAGCAAAGTCTTTGTAACTCCTGCCAACTATTTTCAGTATAAAAACATCTCCGTGTAGTTTTAAAAAGCAAAATTAATATCAGAAGGGCCGACCATCTCATCAGGCATGTTAGGCAAAGCCCAGTGCATCGTGGGCCATCAGCCTGCATTGTGCTCAATTAGCGCTTGTCTCAATGTGTTTTTATTTATAATGCATTTTTCCAAGATCATTTCTCATGAAGGGCATGGTCTTTCTCACACTCAACTTGAGTGGCCCCAAGATTGCAATGACAACAATCAAAAAAAAAAAAAAAAGGAATTCTGCTTAAAGAGAGTAGATTAAAATTTTCATCCACAATAGAAAGGCTGTATTCATTACTCAAGCTACATCTTAAGTGATGGTTGCTGCCAACATCAGCTCACTCCCTGTCTAAAAATCTCTTTTTTGCATTCAAGGTTTACCTTCACATTCTATTTACTCCTTATCGGTGTAACAAAAAACGTTGCATTTTCTGTGGGAAGAGATAATGTCAAATTGCATATGGAGGGCCCCTGATGGTAGAGGTCATCTGGCCTGGGTGTATACCATCGTGTAGCCTATACTGGACAATGTCCACTGTGACAGTGCAGGATGGCCTGCACAAGAGCTGCCCCAAATAACCTACAAGAGGGGAGGTCAGGCCTTTAAATGGAGGTGTGAGAGCAAGGTAAAGCAACAAGTCACTGTGAGACAGGAGCTAGTGAGCCACATGGCAAGCAGGATCCAGCAGGCAGACAGCTGTTGTCTTGGGCTTGCTGCTTCTCAGCCAGAGCCAGGCTCTGTAGACTCAGGAGTCGACACCACAGCAGCAGCCGTTGCTTATAGCAGAGAGAATGAGGTCACTGGAGGAGAAGAGGGAGAGGTATGCTGTCTTGCAGTGTGTGGGCACTTTGAATTTTTCCAGCACCGAGGCTGGGTTTAGGCTGCACCGTCCCTACTTTATTAGGCCAGCAAACACATCTGTGGTAAGATGATAGGCCAACATGTGCTCCATGCTCAGAGGTAATTTCAGGTCATGTCTATACAAGATCAGCACGAGCAGCCTGGAGCACCAAAAATGACAGCTGCAACTCCTGCTTCTAGATAGTGCTGTCCAATAGAAACAGAGTGCCAGCCATGCACACCATTCCGATTTTTCCATTAGCCACATTTTAAAAAATAAAAAAAAAAAGCCATAAAATTAATCTTGACAATAGAGTCCTTAACTCAGTACATCCAAAGTTATCCAAAGTGGCATCCTTTCAGCTTGTCATCAAAATATCCTTAAAAATTAATGAGAGCAGCCCTCCCTAGTGGCACAGCGGGTTAAAGCACAGTACTGAGAAGCTAAAGCCACTTCAACATGAGTTCAATCCCTGTCCCAGAGGTGACCCACATGGCGCGGCAGACCTCTCCTGACCTGCCTGCTGCTCCCCTCAGCAGTGTATTTCATCAGTCAGCCTGTTCTGCTCCCCACTCTGTCTCTGGTGAATCCTCTCACTGCCCCTGCACCTCTAGCCTGTACCTCAGTTCTGTATGCATAAATAAATAAATTTTAAAAAATAAAAAATAAATAAAAATAATTAATGAAATCATTCACCTTTTTTCCTTTGTACTCAGTCTTTGAAATCTGCTTTGTAGTAAACAATTAAAACACATCTTGATTTGGACAAGCTGGGTTTCAAGTGCTCAGTAGCCCCTTGTGACCTGGGCTTATGGCTACCCCATTGGACAGCACAGCTCTTGAGAGTGCACCTGACGGGCTCCTGGTGGTGCATGTGGTTAAGTCGCAGCCCTATGAGGCTGTCCATAGCACTGCAACAAGAGTTCAATCCCTGGCCAGGGAGCTGACCCACGTGGCTCAGCAGACCTCTCCTGTCTCGCCGGCTGTTCCCCTCAACAGTGTATGTCAGTCATTCTGCCTGCTCTGCTCCCCACTCTGTCTTTGGTGAATCCTCTCACCCCCCACTCCTTTGGCCTATAAAATAAATCTTAAAAAAAAAAAAGAGTTCACCTGACTGGTTAAAACCCAGCACACACTCCCTTATTCTTATTAAGCTGGTGCTGTGTATATAAGGTCTGTTAGTCTACTTCTGCTTGCTCTTATCCAGAATAAGCCAAATGTCCTCCAGTCCACTTTCCATCTGTCAGATGTCATCACGTATGTGTTTTGATTTACAAAATCACTTTTCAGAATCCTCTAGGGCACACAGGAGAAGTGGCCCTCAGTGCACCTTACAGAGCATTAGGCTTTAGTGTTTAGTGAGTATAGCCTCTTCATACTCATCTCAACTACAGCAGCTGTCATTTAGGATTCTGAATCTTCACCACATCATTGTGCCAGCCATCCCCCATTAAAGAAAACTTTAAGGTATGTTCCATATAATTTCTCAGCTGATGTCCTTGCATATAAGATTATTGGGAAGGAAAGTGTTCTTTTTTTTTTTAATTTTGTCAAAATAATCAGAATAGGAATTTTACAGAGATAATATAAATGCAGATACATGAGAAGAAAAAGAATCAACTTGAATGGCCTAGAAAATGTTCATATTAATACTTAGAATGTATCTTGTATAATGATTTTGTAAGGATGGGTATAACATTGCAGAATATCGTTGCTTGGCTTTGGTTGGCTTTAATATAAATATGTAGAAATTCTTTATAGGCCAGAATATCATCGTGATAGTGGCTGGAGCAAATTTACTTTTGAATACTGAAGACCTGAGAAAAGCAGCCAATACCATCAGCAGAGCCAAAGTAATGATCTGCCAGTTAGAAGTTTCTCCAGCAACTTCTTTGGAAGCCCTGACAATGGCTCACAGCAATGGAGGTAATTTTACATATTTGTCATTCTTCCTATACAAGCGCTTGTCACTATCTTAATGAAAGTTGACCTTTCGAGTTAAGCAAAGCAATACTTTTTCTGTAGTAAAATATGTTTTCTCCCATCTGTGAGATTCACTGTCTTCTTGTAGTTCTTGATAATGTTACAAATAGGGTAAAAAAAAAAAAAAAAACAACCACAAGTAGCAAGTAGCGAGTAGCGCTTCTGTTATCTCCCAAGATAAATGTTCAATCAAATTAACAGAAACAATGCAAGTAGTAACTAGAATCTCTGGAGCAGCCCATTGTCCAAGATTCACTGAAGGTAATGGAATGGTTTCCTTTCTGAGAAGCAGAGATTAAGCTGCATGT